AATAATAATAATAATAATAATATAAGCCTTACTACAACAAGGTTTAAGTTGTAGAACCCCAATTGGTAAACTTCCCCTTGCGATTTCCTGTCATACATCTTTGTTTTTTTTTCTCATCATATTATAACTGTGCCTCAATGTACGTGGAATGTGGAAATAAAGACATTTACTATTATTATTATTATTATTCATTAAATACGCAGGATACATTTGATGAATGAATAAGGTAGGTATTCCCCCATACTCAAATCAGTGTAGCCATTGTGAAATTGAAAGTACCTCTCAAATTGAAGATTATTACTGAAATCGGAGTTCTGGAAAAATTTTAATTACGTTTATTTTCGTCCCAATCCAATGTTATGTCTCTGGTGTGTAATTATACTCGACGATATGCAATTTGTATTCTGTTTTTGCAATAAAACTTTTGCTTTCTAATTTAATTTCATGCTAGTACACATCAGGTCAATTGTGAAGTCCAAGTTTCATTTTCACTTCTCTTAGTAACAATAAGATATCGTAATTTGAATATTACTCTCTTTTGTTGCTTACAATTATCTATCGAATGACTTAACAAAAGATCGTTGTCTTTATTATAAATATTTGGATGCTTCACGGTGAAAGACAAGCTACTTCCCAATTAAAATAAGGATTTATATAATCAGTGAGTTGGAATGTTTTGGTAGTGAATTCATTTGATCGTTCATTGAAAATGTGTAGGCTATGTTTCAGTACAATACAAATTAGAAAAAAAAACATTGAAACAACGTTTTCATTTCCTTTATGTACATTGAATCGAAAAGAAATTTCTTTCTACTCTTTTCGTGCTCGCAATGAAAGTTGTAAGCAAATATATTTCATTCTTGAAAAATTTTACACGACGCAAATAATGAAAAATTATACATATAAAATTTCATTTACAAAATTTTTTCACAATTTCAAAGTGGATCTAGGTTTTGGGCAAATTAATTTAGTTTCATATCCTCATCAGCTCGATTTTAAATATTTTTACTCAAATTGTTGACCTAAAAAATCCCTTTGACATCTGTCGAGGAATTGAAGCGAATAAGCAAAGGAAAAACAGCGAATATATTTGGAATTTTCCAATTATGAAAACGGTGTCGGTTTTCAACCTCCGAAACGTTAAGTTTCTGTATAATTTCTCCGCCCTTTTTTTAAATTTTTGTTATTATTTTAATTAACACGCTTTTATCAGCTTCACTTGAATGTATGTATGTATGTTTGTTTGATTGTTTGCAACTTTTAAACTCGGGACAGAATTATTGATATTATTGCTTGA